GTAGACGTAGTCGAATTTGCCGACCTCAGCATTTGTGCTTGCGCACAGACGAGTATTATCGAGGAAACACGCATTTATTGACAAACTATTTCGTTTAAATCGTTAATTGTGACCGTTAATAATATGCCATCTATCATTTACTGCCATGGATGGGATATTATTAACGGTCACAATTAACCATTACACACTAATACTTTGTAAATAAATGCCGGTTTCCTCGTTAATCCCGTCTGTACAAGCGCAGATACTGGGTCGGCGTTCTCGACAGAACACCAGCATTACATTTTAAACTGAAGCGGCTGCCTGAGGTCCTGCGCTTGCTGGGGACCTCGGCAGCCTTCCTGTTAACCACACGGTGCTATAGCAGTGGGGGGCCCTCTATGGTTTCTTGCGCTGAGGCCCTGAAGGTTCTAAGTACGCCTCTGCCTCAGAGGGCTTTCTAAGCAACAGGGAAAAGGTTTTTGTTTTTTTTAAGTATTTGATGTTTGGAACAAAACAGTAAGTGAATTTAAACATGCTTGGGACAAATATAGGCCTATACTCAGACAAAATAAAAATAAAGGGTAGATTCAATGGACCACTTGGTGTTATACTGCCATTGTTCTTCTATAATTGTAATAATTATTTATGTTTAATATGTTTCTATAAGTAATCATCACCATATTGCCTTGCCATTACACTATACGTTTGTAAGCTTTGCCTTACTACCTAAGGAACTGAATAGGTATGCAAATCTGTGTTTAGCCTTTTGTCTGATTTTTCACATACAGGTTTTGTGTAAGTCATAGACTCAAGCTGAGATGACTGCCACGACCCTGGTCCTGCCCTAAACTTTGCCAGCTACCTGTTGTTATATCAACACAACAATGTACCTGCTGCAAATTTTGTGCATTCATCAGGGAGGATGGGGTGCAAAACATGCTAGCAAGATATGTTAGTCATAACTAGTCTGCTAAAATGTTGTAAAATTAAATATATAATTTGCCATCACAGCAAGAAGTACCTGAACCTTTCTTGTAGAACACATACAAAAATCTGCACTACTGCATGGGGTAATAATCACAAAACTACTAAAGCAAAAGGTGATCCAAAACTTTTTTGTTTTTTTGTTTTGAATATAGCAGACAAAGGTTAGAAGTTTGGGTAGGTTTATATTGCTCTCTGTGGGAAGATTTTAACTCTCTTTTTGGCCCAAATGTGCCAGTAACTTGGACAGCTAAAGAAGAGGAATTTCCCCGTGGGGTCACAGACAAACTCTCCATTCCCTATCTCAGTTGCTGGTGCCAAGTGGGACAAAAAGTGACTTAAAAAAACAGACAGCAAAAAACCTTACTAAAGTTCACACTTAGAGGGCCCATTTACACCTATACGGTTTGTTGTGTTGCAATCCCAAGGGACCCAGTATACTCAAAATATGACTTTTTGAGCTGCCAGATATAAACAGTAACAGACTATGAGCTGCCAGCACTTTAATGTAATCTTAATCTGTAATGTATCTTAAACAAAAGTATATATAAATAGTGCAGAGCTAATATGAAGTACAAGTGATAACCACACAAATCAGTGACAATATAACACAGTGAAAAATAATGTCACAGAAAAAGCAGTATAAAAATAATGCAGAGTCTCAATGTTGCATAATGTTCCACTAAGGCCCCTTTTACACGGGCTGATCAGGAGGATATCCAGCATGGATCCCTTCCTGATCGGAGCAGTATGGTTTGGAAGTCATGGCTGTGACATCCGTGTCCGTCTAGTTTTTTTCTTCCATCTTACAATGGAGGAAAGAACTAAAACTGCCGGACCCCATGTCGGTCTATGGGGAGTCGGATTTAAACATACATTTGTCTGCTTATATCAGATTACCCCCGATCCGGCATGATCAGCACCGGTGGAACGTAACCCTGTTCCCTTTGTTTTTGCGGACTGGGCCAGAGTCGGGGGTAACCAAGTATAAACGGATGCCTGTCCGTTTAGACCCAGTTGCCCATAGACTAGCATTGGACATCCAATGGGGTCTGCTTGACAGGCGGACCAATCAGGTCGGCCTGACAAACTGACAGGTGGACCCGATCAGACCACCCGTGTGAAAGGGGCTTTATAGACACAACACTCTCTCCTCAGTCTTTCAAATACAAGTGTAACAAACTATGACAAAGTATCCAAAAATATGTCTCATCAAGTGATACAATCACTTTTGTGAACTCCTCAATCGCTATTCGTGATCTCACACCATTAAAGGAGAACTATGGGGTTAGGGCTTTTCCCCATAGTACTCCTTAGGGTAACCCTAAGCTTAGTATACCGCAAGCTACAGCTCGTGGTATACTGATATGCCGCAGTATACCGCGAGCTACAGCTCGCGGTATACTGAGATGCCGCAGCTGAAGCGGATCCCGACAATTATGTCTGGATCCGCCCAGCTGCGTGAGTGACAGCTGGCTCTGCCTATCTAGAGGCAGAGCCAGCTGTACCCGCCCCCTCCCCCGTCCGTTCCGCCAGTCAGCGCTGGAGGATCGGAGCGGGGGGGAATCCAGTCCCTCCCCTGTCACGGCAGAGAGCCATGACAGGATCGAGAAGTGAGCGAACGGCGGTATGTGTTCACTCACTTCCCGATCTACTGAGCCGACCTGTGACAGTCTCATTGTCACAGGTCGGCTAGAACTATGAGGTGAGTGAAAAGCACTCACCTCATAGTTCTCCTTTAAAGTGACATTAAACTCAGTAGTTAAATCTTAAAAATGCATTCAAGTACCTTAAATATTAACAAAATGTATCTTATTTGTGTATCACTCAGCTGCAGATCCTCAAATCATCTCTGAATTGGTGCCGACACTGTCCTTCCTTCTGGAGGGTGGCTACTTTTGTTCCCCATGGTCCCTGTGTGTGTTGTAAAGTAGCCACCGCTTCAAGCTCACTCCTGTGATGGACTACAATGTCATGTTTAGTTTGCTAATATATTTTGAGATTGTACTCCATCAAGGGTACTTGAATACATTTTTAGGATTTAAGTGAGCGAGCACCGGTATGTGTTCGCTCACTTCCTGATCTACTGAGCCGACCTGTGACAGTTTCATTGTCACAGGTCGGCTCAGATTATGAGGCTGAGTGAAAATCACTCACTTCATAATTCTCCTTTAACAGTGAGCAGACCATGAATCAACTTGTAATGGTGTACTGGAAAAACCCAAAACTTACCTTTTTTATCTGGAATATGTCTAAAATACTGTACTTTAGAATGGCCAGCATTTTCCCCTCACTGGCCCAGAGCATTGCCCCCACAATCCACCGATCACAGTTTGCAATGCTTTACTGCCAACAAATAATGAATGTATATTTTTTTTTTAATGAACGTGTGTACATTTATTGTTATTTGCTTTCTGTAAAAGGTGCACTTTAACCAAGTTTTATCATTCACTTTGGTCTTTGCCAGACTGAAGCCCATCATGGGGAAGACTGCCAGAGCACCAGCAACCATTGGACTAAGGGCTGGCCGAAATGCACTAGATCGCATAGAGCAAGGCTCCCTGCGTAGTGGGGCAGGAGATGGTGGCACCATTAATGCCAATGGCACCGAAGACACACCTGCAGTGCGATTGCCCGCACCAGAACGTGTGGTACAGCAATGTTCACGGTCCGGGGCGATTGCAAATAGCGTATGAGATTCAAGTCAATGTGCATACCCTATTTGCGATAGCACTGGACCGTGGACATTGCTGTACCACACAGGCATGTCTGCAGTGCCATTGGCATTAATGGCACCAAGCACTGGATGTGCTGTGAACAGGCCTTAACATCCAGTAACTAATCGATTTTGAAAATAATCGTTAGCTGCAGCTCTAGAACCTAGACACGTCAGAGGGACTTTATGAAAACCAGAGCAGTAGATATAGGCAAAAAAACGGGAGGGTTTAGAACCCCTTTAAATACCTGTACACCCCCACATATCACGGGGGGGGGGGGCGCAACATTTTGTTCTGCCCCGGGCGCCCGTTACGCGACTGCACATATCCATGAACAATCTTAAAACGGTGCCATGGGCAGGGTGAGGGTTAAGCATGTGAGAAGCCAACATTCCCCGAATAGGACTATGCTGGTCAGTGGTGGCGGTGCTCCTGCCGGTGTATGTACACAGCGTGACGTCGGTACACACACATTATAATATGAAAACACTGCCCGCGTCCGCAACTTCATTCTATATCCCCAGGCGGGTGTTCTTTTTGAATGAATGACGTAGCTGGACGGGTGTCCAATAGGAGCGGGGGGCGTGGTGAATATTGATGAGGCGCCGGCCCAATGACAGGGCTGGGAGGTTGTTTTAAACCGTGAGTGCGCTCCAACCAATCAGCGCGCTCTCGTAGTAAGCTAGCGCGAGGTTGCGAGCCAAGCTTTTAGTTGTGAGCGGCGTGCGCAGGATTCACACTAGGCGAACAATACAGGTACGTCCAGCAGCCTCCTGTGTGTATGTGAGGGGAGATCTCTGTACCCCCGAGCCGGCATCGGCTTTCTCACCATCACCCTTATCATCAGCCCTCCAATCTCTTCTCATTCTACCTTTTCTTGTATTTTTTTTAAATGTGTGGCGATATCTGTGTGTCTATGCACGGCTGTCACCGCCGACTGATCGCAGTGTGCTTTGTGTTGTGCTGAGAATGTTCTAAATGGGCTGTGTGGTTGGTGCATTGGCAGGATTCTGTGTCGGGGCAGGAGGGGCTGTCGATATAATGTGATTTTTATATTGTGGGGGGCTATGTTTATAAGTCGGGGTGTCGTTGTAGGGGCTCGTACAATGTGGGGTGTCTGTGTCGGGCAGTATGGGGTGTCTGCATGGCACTGTTCTCTGCATTAACATGGCTGTCCCTGTCATCTCTGCCTTGTTGTTTGCCTGTGTTGGAGGAAGGAGGGGGGAGGGGGATGGGGGAGGTGACCCCTCTAATGCTGAGTGTAGCCCCGATTTGGTGCCCCTTTGGTCGGGCAATGTATGTTGCCCATGGTCGGCTCTGCCCTGTGACTCCCTTCTCTAGCAGCAGGGAAAACCCCCTCTCCTTCCACTTTAACCTGTGCCCTGTACCCCGAGAAAACTCGGAGCCC